TGTTTCGATCCTACACGAACATCTAATTAATAGTGTTTGTCTGGCATTGACACGCGCCAATTAACATATATAGCAATTGACACCTCGTTAATGGTGGAGGTAGGACCGCCGCAGTACCTGCTTGGGAGGTGGCTCCGCTGTTGGATCAATTAGATTTTGCAGGTTAATCAAATTGAGTTTAAATTTGCTTTCACTTTAATTTTAAGGGGCTGTACGTACGTGCGGTATATTTTGAAGGAGCTCGTGAGCTTTCCTACTCCATTTAAAAAATATGACGTGTATTATCTTGAACTGACAGTCCAACATAAACGATTCTTCTATCCCAAATAATCTACTCTTGGTTAAGGTGAACATCAAACAAATGTCAACACCAGTATTGCGAAAGTTATAATATCATCGTCAAACAATAAGGTACCGTTGAGAGAATATATCGATATATTTTGGGGGTGAAATGAGTAAGTATATATACCGGTATTTGATTACAGTCTTTTTATTTTCTTTTGCGACGATGATTGTGAAATTGTAATATGTTTTTAGAGATATTTAAACACATTTCGACTTTTTGTGAGGACGCAGACAACTTTATCAGTTCACTGTTCCAGACAATCAAAAGATCTTCTTGTGTAACAGTACTCCTACACAATCTAATGATCATCTTTTTTAACAGTAACAACAAGAATTAAGGGCTTAACATTGCAACGTGAAATTAAAGAGTAATTCTATTTGAAGTATATTCTACTAGTATATTTGATCTAACGGTGTAGACGCTGGGGCACGGGAGACGGCGGACACATAGAGGTTTGGCTTCTCCCGGCGCCGGAGGAATCGGGATGAAGGAGCCACGGCGGGAGTGAAGTGTGTCGGGAGCTAAGGATGCCGGGGACGCAAATGTATCGAGAAGAAGTGCTATCATGCGGATGACGAGATATTAAAAAACAACCGACGGAAAATTAATCCCGATGGAAATAAATCTCTATTTTAAATAACTAAACAACCATTTTTAGATTTTTAATAAATACCAAATCTACCTTGTTATATACTCAGTACAACGTGTCGCTTCCATACAAGACAAGAGGAATCTCTCAAAACAAACCCGGATGGGATCAATGCTCCTGGTTCTTTTGTCATAGAGCGAGCCAAAAACTGACAAAAGCGGATCAGACGAATCGAAGATTATCCTGAAATGCAGATTATCCGTATGTTTGCAAGCGCTACACGTTAGGTCCAGTAATCTCTCTATGTGGTGTTCTTTTCTAACGAATATAAAAATTAAAGATCAAGTTAGGACACATAAAAAGAAAGCAATTAGCGCACATTTAATTGAGTTTTAATTATTATATAAACTTAAAAAAATGGATTGATTTGATATTTTTAAGCAACTTTTGTATATAAGTTAAGCTTTCACACGAAACACACTATTTAGTAGTTTAAAAAATGTGCTAACAGGAATATCTATATCTTATTCTGAAAAAAACACCACAATAGGTTTTCAAAAGAAAGCAATAGTATATGCCACCACATTAATTTTGTTGTATATATTTTTTAATTAACTACTTCGTTGTTTTAATATTCCGAAATAGTTCTAGTATGATTCTATGTTATTTTATATCATGCAAAGACATATAAATGAACGAAATTATTCCTAGAACCTAGTAACAGTTAATATGCTTTAAGCAATATTAGCACATGCATAATTTACTTTAATCTGTAATAAAGTGGCTAGTAAATATAAATATAAACATGCCATGAAACTTAATACTCTTCCTATGGATGTGTATCACTAGCTGGTTTTCCAGTATTATAATACAATGGCAAAATTTGCTACAGGACACCTAAAATATATGTAATTAGCTATTAGACATCGCAAAAACGTGAATTTGCCCAAGGACACTTCAAAAGTGTGGTAATTTGCTGCAGGACACTAGACGCATTAAAATATAATATCCACCTAATTGATGAGAGAGAAACCACATCAAATGACCGTTTTGCCCTTATTTTCTTCCCCTTTTCCTGCTGTTCTTCCGATGCTTCCGAAAAGAATAAACACCAAACCAAATAAAATGCACTGGCGAGCCGCCCCATGGCTCCTCACACTCGAGGCACACCCTGAACACGCTGCTCGTCGTCACGTGCATAGGCATGGTGTTGCCCATCGCGAGCGCCTCCAATCGCGTGACCACGCCGCTCGCCGGCTCGCGCGTCGTGAATCACATGCCACCCACGCGCGCCGTGGCTCGCCCTTGCGACACGGCAGGGTCGTACACACGAGCAACGGCGACAAGTCAAAGCCCTTGGAAGGGACATCAGGTGGAAGGCGTTCAGCACCTTGCGCAATTCATCCTTGTCGTTGTCGACATTGCCAAGCATGTCCACTGGCTCCTGCGCGAGCTTGGTGATGGGTCACTGAACATATGCCATCTTCCGGAACCACTGCATCTTGTGGAGGCCGGCGAAGGTGATGCAGGTGTCTGGGTTGAGGTCGAACAACATCTTGATGAGCTTCCGTGCGTCCGTTGTCAACCACGTCGGGCAGCTGAAGTCACCCTGCCGCATCTTGTGATAGATGCACACCAGGTTCTCGTCTTGGAACAGTAGCGCGCCGGCGAGCAATAGAGGATGATGCTACAGGACTAGAGGTCGGCCTTGGTGCTATCGTAGCCACCCGGCGAGTACCTTGGGGACAACGTACGTCGGCGTGCCATAAGCGGTGTGGAGGAGCCCGTCGGGGCGCGCATGGTAGTTGACTGTGCTGAGCCCGAAGTCGGAGGTTCTCAGCCTAGTTAAGCAGCAGGTTCTCAAGCTCAAGGTCACAGTGATACACCACGCTGATGTGATTTGGTGTTTGTTCTTTTTAGAAATGTCGGAAGAAGCAAGATAAAGATAAGGGCAAAATGGTCATTTGATGTGGTTTCTCTCTCATCAATTAGGTGGATATTATATTTTAATGCGTCCAGGGTCCTGCAGCAAATTACTACACTTTTAGAGTGTCCTTAGGCAAATTCACGTTTTTGCGATGTCCCACAGCTAATTACACATTTTTTAGATGTCCTACAGCAAATTTTGCCTAATACAATATACATCCGTGGTTTTATATGTCTATTATATAGTTCTATGTAAACAATATATATTTCGCTATATTGGTATCACAAGCTTTTATGTGGTATATAATAACAATTATGCCTTACTAGCAGCACAAGTTTAATAATAAAGATAATGGTCACTTCTAATTTTATCTATATTATCTACTCCTTCCGTCCCAAAATAAGCGCAGCCATGAGTTTTCGTGTCCAACTTTGACCGTCCGTCTTATTTTAAATTTTTTTAAAAAAACTAAAAAACATAAGTTACGCATAAAGTACTACTAATGTTTTATAATCTGATAACAATAAGAATACTAATTATAAAAGGAATTCAAATAAGACAGACGATTAAAATTGAACATGGAAACTTATGTCTGCACTTATTTTGGGACGGAGGGAGTAGTCGTAGTGTAGTGCTCACAAAATAGGACACACACACAACACATTTCATGTAGTACATCTGCCCAAATACCTCATTTATTTACTCCTAGTTTGTTGGTCCTTTTCTTTCATCTCTCTTGTATCTTGTAGAGTGTTCTTATACGAGGGCAACTCGGCTCCTCCATATCATTATGAGAATCAACGTAACACTCTTTAAAAATAACTTTAAGGCCTTATTACAGTTGCTCTCAGCAATAAGACGGAGAGACGATAGAATTCATCGTCTTCCCATATCTACCAATCTCTTTCTAGTAACCTTTCTTTTAAAAGAAAATTGTGAAGATCATTGACCATATAAGAAGTAATTATACAATAAAAACCTAACACTCGCGTGCGGGCCTCTAGCCTGTCTGCCCAAAAGTGTTTGCGATAATGACAATTTTTCTATGCGGGTGGCGCACCCGCACGCGTGCGGGTGCATTTATGTCGTCCACGTGCAAAAACCAAAATCCGAACAAAAAAATCGCAAAATATCAAATTCCTCGAATCCACCGACCACTTGCTGTGCGCCCGCCGCCCGCCTGCCTCCTCCTGCCGCTGTCGCGCGCCTGCCGCCACCGCAGTGCTCCTCTTGCCACAGCCGCTGTATCCACACGGGGGATGGCTGTCGCCCCTTACCTGCGACCACGCGGTCGCTAGCCGAATGTCGCCTGCTGCTGTGCGCCCATCGCCTCCTACCGCGCGTCCACCGGCCGACTGCCACTCGCCACCACACGACCACCAGCCATTGCTGCCCAGGAGTGGAATCGAGTGAGCGAGTGGAGAGAAAGTTCTCTCCTGGGAGAGAGAGGTGAGGAGATAAGGATGATTTAAAAAATTTGAAATGCTAAAAGGGAAAGATGAGGTAGGTCAGGTATTTAAGAGGCACGTCTAAAAAAAATACATTTTTCCGTGTGTCCGCTTAAGATATCCATTTGAAAAAATAGCCCTATTTTCGCATACGGCTACTTAAGATGTCTGTCTGAAAAATAGCCCTATTTTCACATACGGCTCTTAAAGAGGACCATCTGCGAAAATTTATTTTTACATACGGACCTCTTAAGAAGCCATATGTAAAAATATGGTCGATTTCTACGTACGCGGATACTCATGGTCCGCTTATAATCTATTAAGGTGCTTGTCCAGAAAAATCATTTGCATAAACTTTTATCTAGCACGAATGGTTAAACGCCACCATTCAAAAGACAACGACGTCCTATATTTAACAGAGCAAGCATTTATGTATATCATTCAGAAGAAACAAAACAAAATAGTACTGATCGATAATATTCCCTAAACTCTTTGAAGTAGATGCCATCTCAGAACGTGTCAAATTTGTTCTCAAAAGGAAAGAAAAAAGGACGTGTCAAACAGCTCCTTTTTGTGGGGATAACAAAAAAAAAAGAAGATTAATGCCAGTTATTATTTTAAACGAATCTCGTTGATCATAGCAGCATGTCAGCATCTATATATGGCCTAGTCTCGCATCGATGAATTAAGTTGTAGTAGTAGATGCCATCGTTGATCATAGCAGCATTGATTAAGTTGTCGCTTTTCCTCCCCCAACTCCACGATCAACTGAAGCGGGCGACGGCGACGAGCCGCGCGTGCGTGTGGGTGATCCATGGAGGCGTTCGTGTCGGGCGGCGCGGGCGGGGTCGGGGCGGCGGCGGTGGTCGGAGTGTTCGTCGCCGCGGCGGTGGTCGGAGGGTTCGTTGCCGCGGTCGCGCTCGCCGAGAGGGCCGGCGTGATCGCGCCAAGGAAACGCCCCAACGCGCCCCCAGGTCAGCCGGGGCTTAATATCTCTCTCTCAAGCCTTAAGCTTAAGGTACTAAACTTTAGGGACATTTAATTTTTTCGCCACTTTTAAGATGTGTTAATTAATTATTTGTCACTCGCTGTCTAATGACATATGGGCCCTCATGTGTCCTCATGTGTCTATGACATGTGGATTTAGTGACAAATCATTTATCACCCTCCGTGAGAGTGGTAAATAATTAATTATTCCTATACTTTATTCCTTAATGTTAGTTTTCATGCACACGGTGGTTGCTCATCTCCCAGTGACTTACTGTAGACTTCCGTTTACTTCTGGCTGGGAGCGTGATTTTTCAGTTGCAACAGTAGAAAGTGATTCATCAATTGCAGTAGCTTTTTCCAAAGCTATCCTCATCGGACCACTTGGATATAACAGTTAGTTGGTAATTATTGTTCTCTTGATTTTTTTTTCTAGCACATTAGTTCTTCTGACTAACGTAGTGTGGATTTGAAAATTAGGAAACTATCCTACAGTGAAACATTCTGAGTAAGTACATAATTAAATGATATCACATACTCCCTCCATTTCTAAATATTTGACACCGTTGATTTTTTAGCAAATGTTTGACCGTTCGTCTTATTTAAAAACTTTTGTGAAATATGTAAAACTATATGTATATATAAGTATATTTAACAAGGAATCTAATGATAGGAAAATAATTAATAATTACTTAAATTTTATAAATAAAACGAAGGGTTAAACATATTTAAAAAAGTCAACGGCGTCAAATATTTAGAAATGGATGGAGTTACTACTCTATAAAAAAACAACCCTAACTATGAATTTGTACACATATATTATATTGTTATATGTGTCCAGGTTAGTTCGTAGGATTAGGTTTTTTAATGTGACGGAGGGGTAGAGACTAGCCTTTTGTAGTATGGAATAATTTTAACAAACTTTAGAAAACCTTCATCAATCCATAAAAAGTGTCCAAATTTATTCTTTCGTTTTATAAAGATATCATGCTAGGTTAGCATGCAATTATTGCCCCATGATGATGGAATAACATACATCTGTTTTCCGTTAACAGCCAATAAATTCACATAACTAGCTTTATTACTTTGCAAATAAAACTGAAATGAGAATCCCTAAATTTGTCGATTGTTACCTTCTTTTAGTATAAGTAGACAAAAGACTCCCGGTTCACTGGAGACATATGGTACATCATTTGTTCGTGGAACATGGACAATATGGAATTAACCGAGCCGAATCGGCCTGTCTAAGAATACGTCTATAAAAATTTTATTAATAAATTATTTTCTATTTACAAATATACTGTTTCGCTTATTCCATCACTAAGCGAAACGATGTAGTCCTGAGTCGGCAGTTTTTTGTTTTGAAAAGTCTCGCAGATATGTGTGTGTGTTATATTTATATGCAATGTATTAATTATTCTGGTCTATAATCACCTAATTCTATTTGATATTCTGAGCTTATCGACCATCATCTTGTCAATATCTTACAACATCACCAAAGAAAGGGACAACACTAATTCATCACTAGGCTAGTAATTACTTGCATGAATATATGGTGTTATCATCTATGCAAACAAATTATCAAATAACCCATTTCAAGTTTTCAGTCTAGTGTACAAGTTAGTCTCCCATGATTCTATGATTTTATTTTATTGTCATGCAGCTGTTCCTGGTTTACCCATAATCGGAAATCTGCATCAATTGAAAGAAAAGAAGCCTCATCAGACCTTCACAAAATGGGCTGAAATTTATGGCCCAATCTACACCATAAGGATTGGGGCTTCTTCCGTAGTTGTGCTCAATTCAACTGAAGTAGCCAAGGAGGTGACTTAGAAGTTGTCTATCATTTCAATTGACTTGCTAACTCTAGAATGATAGTCTCACATTTGATTTGATCATAAATAACACAAACCAATACTGTACTATCTTTTGCAGGCGATGGTTGCAAAATTCTCATCAATATCTACCCGAAAGCTATCCAAAGCACTGACAGTGCTTACTCGTGATAAATCCATGGTTGCTACCAGCGACTATGGTGATTTCCACAAAATGGTGAAGCGTTATGTCATGTCAAGCACGCTGGGTACTTCTGCACAGGTATACTTCTCAACAATTTCATTTTTGATTTTTACTACTGATTATTCTCAATAACTCCAGTGTGCATTTTCAGTACTTATCATCTGCTACCAATTATACTTACAGAGTTTCAGTTATCTGTGGTCTGACAATGCAATGCTTCCATAAATTTCAGAAAAAATTTCGTGACACAAGAGATATGATGATCAATAACATGTTAAGCACTTTCCATAAACTGGTGAAAGATGACCCACATGTTCCTCTGATATTTAGAGATGTTTTCAAGGATGAGCTATTCCGGTTGTCCATGATCCAGGTTTGGATTGTCTCTCTGAACTTGAACTGTCAGATGGTCGATTTGTTATTTCCGGCACTGACAATGAATGTCGCAAACTTCAGAGCTTAGGAGAGGATGTGAGTTCAGTCTACGTGGATGAATTTGGGAGGGACATTTCGAAGGAAGAAATCTACAACGCCACTGTGACCGACATGATGATGTGCGCAATTGAGGTTGATTGGAGAGACTTCTTCTCCTACCTCAGCTGGGTTCCAAACAAGAGCTTCGAAACAAGAGTGTTTACCGCAGAAGCTAGACGAACCGCGGTGATGCGCGCCTTGATCAAGCAACAGAAGGAAAGGATTGTGCGTGGAGAGGTGACGAAATGCATACTTTGACAAATGACAACTTCTGTTTCTATGCCAAAAAAAAAAGTTACCCCCTCTATTTCTAAATATTTGACACCGTTGACTTTTTAATATATGTTTGACCGTTCATCTTATTCAAAAACTTTAGTCAAATTTGTAAAACTATATATCTACATAAAAAGAGTAAATTGTACTAGCAGTCCTTAAAACTTGTAACTAGGTTTCACTTAGATCCACGAACTTGTAAAACACGCATCGAGATCTTTAAACTTGATTTAATGTATCATCCTGGTCCAAAGTCTCGTTTGACCGTGGTCTTACCTTACGTGGCATGCCACATGGACGATGACATGGCACAAATTTCTTTTTCCTTTTTTTCTCTCTTTCCTCCACCTCTATATGTATCGGTGGCATGCAAAGGGAGAGAGGGAGGCAACGAGAGAGATGATGTTGACCATCGGAGGCAAAGCGCGTGGTCGATGGCGGAGCGGAGGCTGGGGGGACGATGACAACTCCGGGCGGCGATAGTGATAACTAGTGGCGTGGTTGCTCCCCAACGAGATCGTGCATTCTCCCGTGCAGAGCTCGTCGCTGCCAATCTCGTCATCCTCTGTCATACAGAGCTTGCCGCTGCCCATCACGTCGACCTACGCTGTGCGGAGCTCATCGCCTTCCACCGCACAGAGCTCTTTGCCCAACACTGATCGACTTGCCTGCCGAGGTCACGACCGGATCCAACAAGATTGTGGCTAGATCTGGCGACCTCGCTGTCATCGTCGCCGCCGCGGTTCCCCGACCGTCGTGAGGAGAGGGGAGAGGCGGTCCGATCCGCGCGCGCGCGCCCACACACACACACACATAGAGAGAGGAGAAGCGAGGCCGCCGGGGATGGGAGAGGTGACGCTGCCGCCGGCGGTGGGCGGAGTGGGAGGGGAGGCATCGGCGCCTCGGTGGCGTCTGGCCATTTGTTGGCGTCAGTGGGGAAAAGAAGGTGGGGGAAGGGATGAGAGTGGAAGAAGAAGGGAGGAAAAAATAAAAAATTCCATGTCATCGTCCACGTGCTACGCCACGTAGACAAGACCACTGTTAAACAAGACTTTGGATCGGGATGATACATTAAATCAAGTTTAGGGATCTCGATGCGCGTTTTATAAGTTTGTGGATCTAAGTGAAATCTCGTTACAAGTTTAAGGACCGCTAGTGCAATTTACTCACATAAAAATGTATTTAACAATGAATCAAATGATAGGAAAATAATTAATAATTCCTTAAATTTTTTGAATAAGACGGACAATTAATCAAACATATTTAAAAAAGTCAACGACGTTATTTAGAAACAAGTATTATGTCCACATATCATCTCTTTTTGGCTCCATGAAACTGAGATAAATATGCAGGCAAAGATATGCTATCTGGACTTCTTGCTGGCAGAGAACACACTGACAGATGAGCAACTGACGATGCTGGTGTGGGAGGAACTCATAGAGGCTGCAGATACTACCTTGGTCGCCACAGAATGGGCCATGTACGAGCTTGCCAAGAACCCTGACAAACAGGCAAGAAATATTTGTTACTCTGTTCCAGCTCATTCTTGGCATTATCAACCCAAACGTTTTCTTTTGGGCGTTTTTCTGGTCATGCCAGGAACGGCTTTACCAAGAAATCCGGGAGGTGTGCGGCGACGAGACGGTCACCGAGGAGCACCTGCCGCGGCTGCCGTACCTCAACGCCGTCTTCCACGAGACGCTGCGCCGCCACTCCCCTGTCCCGCTCATACCCCCGAGGTTCGTCCACGAGGACACCAAGCTTGCAGGCTACGACGTCCCCGCCGGCACCGAGGTAAGCACAACCATACGACAATGGCAGGGTTTACACTTTCAGTTTGGGCCGAAGTTTCAGTTATTTCGGTGTCGCCAAAATTTCAGTGATTTCGGTGTCACCGAAATTTCACGAACTTCGGTGTTTTTGGAACTTATTTTTGCACGAAATTATTTGAAATTTTAACTGAATTTGAATAAAATTTTAACCAAATTCACAAAACTTTGGAAAATTCTGAAAATGTTGGTTTTTTTTTCAAGAGAATGGATTAAAATCCGACCTTTATATTCACACTAGACCGTAAGAAAACAAGAAAGCTAAGAAAAAAAATAGAAGACTAAGCTCTACTTATCTTGTATCCTTTGTTTCAAACCTGCCTGTTGAAATCCAATAACTTTTATCATATTGGGCAAACTCGTCGTCCTTGACTTCTCGTAGAGTTTTCAGGTGGGCCTCATCTTTTTCGCTTATGCTTATACTTATCAACCAAAATTTAAATTTTTAACTTTAAATTTAAAGCTGATTTTGAGAGTTCTTTTTTTACAGAAGTTTATTTTTCAGCCTTTGCTTTTAGATCGCTAAGAACACGTATATAAAAGTTTTATTTATAAATTACTTTTCGTTTGTAAATATGCTGTTTGGATTATTTCACGTATTATTATTCCACGAATACGTGAAACAATGCGGCCATAATTGCTTTCTGGGGGAGTCCAAAATTTCAATCACCCTGACAATCTAACAAGTGATGGTCATTTGCTAGCAGATGGTGATCAACCTGTACGGGTGCAACATGAACAAGAAGGAGTGGGAGTCGCCGGAGGAGTGGGTGCCAGAGAGGTTCACCGGCGGGAGGTTGGAGGTGGCAGACATGTACAAGACGATGGCGTTCGGCGCCGGGAGGAGGGCCTGCGCAGGGAGCCTACAGGTGATGCACATCGCGTGCACCGCCATCGCGCGCTTCGTGCAGGAGTTCGGGTGGAGGCTGACGGAGGGCGACGAGGAGAAGGTGGACACCGTGCAGTTCACCGCCTACAAGCTCCACCCGCTTCATGTCCACCTCACGCCCAGAGGAAGGATGTGAACCATTATATTCATTGGAAGCTGTTTTTCGATCGTTGAATAATGATATATACTTGTCTTTGAGATGTATTTACTATTAGCAAAATCTCCATGCTTTGTTATGGATAGGAGAAAACATATATTATAATATATCTGTCGGAGGATGAACTCCTCTAGCAGGGAACCGTGAGGCCCCCCTTTGTGAGTTCGGCCAAGGGTAGCGGGTTAGATTCGAGGATTCCTGTGATGGGGGAGAGAAAGTGAGGGGGTCAGGCCCCTCAGAGAAGATGAGACAAAAGGGGATTATACAGGTTCGGGCCGCTGAGAAGCGTAACACCTTGCTCCTGTGCTTGGTTGAAGCTGAGGGGATTACAAGCGCTTGAGACGAAGGATCTCAAGTGTGTGTTTGAAAAAGGGCTCATCCCCTCCCTTAGATGGCATGAACCTCCTTTTAAACCTCAAGGGGTTACCATATGGGCCCAGAGAACCTATCTAGGGGAGAAGGAGTACAATCTTTTTATTAAACGCATGTCTTGTTTCTTAACTTGGAAGCCACATGCACGCCACCTCGGTTGTGGGGCCCATCAAATTATGTCGCCTGACACGGGGGACGCCCATGTCATTCGCTATTTAATGAGTGAAGACTTTTGGGTCCTTACTTGCGCGGGGATATGGAAACTCTGCTTTGACCGGGTCAGACGAATCGACTCCGGCTGGGATGAGAGGCTAAAAAAGCCTCCCATCATCACGATGTGACAGGGGATGCACCGACTGACACATGGGCAGCGTGCAGGCGCACTACCCTAGTCCCATCGGTCATTCGACCAGTCACAGACCGGTCAAGCGCGCTGCACGCCGCATTAAATACGGCGTGATGCGCTCGTTCAGTCCGCTTTCAATGCGGTTAGCTGGGCGCTGGGTGCGCCCACCCAACTCGCACGCGTAGGCTGATGCGTCGAGGGGGTCGGGACGGCCCAACCCCCAAGTGAGGAGGGGGTAGCAGCCACTCCACCCCAGGCCCGACCCTCCTCGGGGGAGTGCCACATGGGTTTGGGGGCGGCCTACTCCCTCCAAACTCGGTACCCTAAGCTGGGAGGGGGCAACCGCCCGTCCAACTCGGGCCCGACCCCCCTCGAGGGGCGCCACGTGGGTTCGGGGGCGACCTCCTCCCTCTAAACATGATACCCCCAGGCCCATATCATGGACAGTAGCCCCCGGTGTTAGCCCTGACCAAAACCTTTCCCAGGTGGCCAGGGTTGACACCACTCTCCTAGTCTAATGACATTTGGGCCCGGTTTCTGTTCTGTCGTTCTAGGAGTTAGGCGGTGGGAGTTTAGCCACGTTCATACGTCACCTTAACTCCCCACTTCCTTCCCAGTTTCCGAGACGCTGTGGGCATGGGAGCGGAACCGATACGTGGGGTTTTTTTATGGCTCAAAACCCCCCTCCTCGCCATAATTCGCTCCTACTGTGACCTAGCTCCTCTACTTTCTTTTTTCGCCGCCACCAATCTTCTCCTTTCTTTACTGGCACTAGAGCTCATGCGCCTTTTTTGCCCCAGCCTGAGGGTGACTCGCCAGCCCGTACCTTAGGCTGTGAACTTATTTCCTGTATCTATTCAGCAAACGTTGTTTGATTCTCTTGGGTCCGCGACCTCACGCTGCGTACCTCAACAAAGCAAAAAGGGGTCTTATCAAACCAACCCACCCCATAAAATTGGAAAGAAAGATAAAGTAAGTGGACCTGACTCCTTGAATGAGGCCTCTATCCGCTATTCTGATATATAAATTCAATGTAGATGAAATTGTATAAGTGGATTTTTTTTGTATTTCTTTAGACTTAGACTACGCAAGGCAAGAATTTCTCCCTCGCTTGCCCCTGCCTTTTCTTAACCTCTGTTCGCGTTCTATTTCATATATCCAAACGATTATTTTCGCGTGAGTGTGAGGACCGAACTTTCCATACCCAGCAATCTTCACCCGCGATCAAGCCAAGGTGGGCGCCACAGCCAGCCGGCGGGGCCAAAGCCAGCTGCTACAAAAGAGCCAGTACAGGGGGCCCCGGGCATCGACGGCGCCCAGAGCTCGACGAATTAATAGGATAGAGCTAGAAACCGTAGCCCCCACACTTTTAGCGAAGAACCGTTTGAATGGATGAAGCGGATACAAATTTCATGTTACCAAGGGGGCTAGCGAGCGCGACACGTGGGTACCACGAGACCGCGAGGAAGAGATGGGTGAGAGATATTTATAAGCCATAATTTTAATCATGCTGGACAAATGGTTTCATGGATTTGTAAATTTTGCTGATAAGCATGAACAAGGAAGATATAAACTTAAAGGAAGTATTAAAAATGCTATGCTTAGAAAAAACCCCTAGCCAACGCGGAGCTTTCCTAGAGGTGTCTGCTTTGGCCCGGGTACTGTAATACTTCCTTTGTTACCTTTGTTCATCCTTGTTTGAGAGTGTCACTTGGTTCATCTTGCTTGCACGTCGCAACCTTTCAAACCTTTGGCTCGAAGAGGGCTTCCCACCATGGGCTCCGAACCATTTAGGGAAGCCTGCGACCACTTAGGAAACGAGGTCAGGTTCCCACGAGCCTACTCCCCCATGCTACACATTTTGTTCACTCTTTCCTTTCGGTGGCCTCCTTCAATCTTTCTTCCTTCTACACATATGACTACTTTCGCACGAGTGTGAGAGCCGAAAAACTCTAGAGCCAGCAATCCCCGTCCACAGCAGAGCCGGGCCAGGCACCATAGCCAGTCGACGGGACCCAATCAGCCGCTACAGAAGAGCCAACATGGCGGTCCGGGCTTTGATGGCGCCTAGGGCTCAACTTAATGCTAGGATAGGGCTAGAAAACTTAGCCCCCACACTTAGCGAAGAATCATCCATGTAGATGGGAGAGAGGTTAGGCTTTTCCCACCGAGGGAGCAAACAAATGCGCAACACACGAGCGTTGCAGGGCCATGAGAATAGAATGGGGGGAAATTTAATATAACATTTCATGCTGTGTTATGCTGATGAATTGAAAATTTGAAAAATACTTGAAACTTGAATGGATGATTAATTCTTGAAAGATGGATGCTTTTGTGCACGGATTATGGGGGCGACAAGGCTTCCTCTTCGGCAACCAGCCTACAAAATCTGAGCACAGAACACTAGCAACTAAGAAAGGACCTTTCCGCTGGAGGAGGGGACTTGTCAATTACACAGTCATGCTAGGGCATGGTGTAAACCTGACTTCCCATCTTAACATTCTAATTCCCATCAACCCTAATCCCTTTTCTTCCTACAACCAACCCCATCGCCGGGGGCTAATGAAATTTTATCATACTTATTCAGTGTATTGCAATATTTTTATGGAGTATTAACTCCATCCGGGTGATGCGGGCCCCGGTCACCCACCAGGTATCCTATGGGGGTGGGGACGGGTGATGTTTTTCGCCCGCCAATATAAATAGGCCCATTAGGAATGGAATTTAGAGAGGTGTCCTCGTATGATTGTCACACGATCGACCATGGGCCTGTTAGGTACGTATTTGTGTCCCTCTATTTGTCGACTTTGGGTCCCTCTATTTGTCGCCCAGTCCGATTTATGTCCCTCAACCGTAAAACCGGGTACAACCCATCCCCCAACTTATAAAAACCGGGCAAACGAGGTCCCTCGGCGATTTTGAAGAAGGTTTGGCTGACGTGGCGCCTACGTGGCTTGTTTAACTAGGTCTCCATCCCACGTGGCATTGACGTGGCGCTTACGTGGCAATTATATCCTGGAAAAATAATAAAAAGCATGACCCCACATGTCAGCTGCACACAAAAATATTTTTAAAATTGTGAGGCCCACGTGGGCCCCACATGTTAGCCTCACTCCTCACTCCTTTCCCCTCTCTCTCTCCTTCCTGGGCAGCGGATGGCGCCGCCGAGGACGTCCGCGTTCAAGGTGTTCGAGATGGTGGAGCCGCTGTCGGGCACGCGCATCGAGGCCCTGTACGCATGGAAGGAGCTGGAATCGCTGGGTGGGCGGATGCTGTTCGTCGCGCGAGGCTGCTCCAGATCGTATGACGCGGGCGACTATCCGGGCGATGAGTTCGGCGAGGGCGTCTACTTCCTGGATGACGGGAGGCTCTACCGCGAGTCGGCAGTGTTCACGGCTCGGCGACGGCGATATCCCTGCAGAGACACCGGCAAGTGGCTACCGGCGGCGGCGGCGGCGGTTCCGCGTGTGGACAGCTTCTTGCCGGAGCAAAGCCCGTCGGACTACTCGCCACCGGGGTGGCTTCTCCCCTGAGATTGCTCGTGTTAGTTTTGATCGTCCTGGTACAGGTATGATTCGCTGTCGATTTGATCCCTCGAGATGTGGTACAGGTATGATTCATGACGCTTTTTATTATTTTTCCGAGATATAATTAATTGTCACATAAGTGCCACGTGGGATGGAGACCTAGTCAAACAAGCCACATAGGCGCCACGTCAATCAAAACCGCCTTCAAAACCGCCGAGGGACGTCGTTTGCCCCGTTTTCGTAAGTTAGGGGACGGGTCGTACCTGGTTTTATGGTCAAAGGACGAAAATCGGTCTGGCGACAAATAGAGAGACTAAAAGTGAACTTATTCCATCTATTTCTTGGGCTTTGGCTTACACAAGTCTAAGAAATGTGACCAATACAATGTAATAAATCATTTTAGGCTAAAGGTTTTAACATCTACTCTTGGCAGTTTAAAAGCCAAGGATAAAAACAAAACGATAAAAAAGCAGTAAATTAATTTTACAGTTAAGTTAAAAAAAATTGGCTGCCACTGATAATAATATGCTGAAACAAGCATGCATGTCAATTTCTTAGACTTTTCGATCAGCATGGCCCTAGACATGAAGATAAGGCTTTGCTTTCACCTTTCTCTAAAGGTGGATGATGCTTGAGATGAGGACACCCCATATGTATCTCGGCTGTCGGCTAGATTTAAGTGTTCTTTTTTTTTTTTTGGTAGGCTGGATTAAAGTTGGGAGTACTGGATGATCAAATAGCGTTTGTCAGGCATCGTCGCCAAAACGCCAATCAACATAGCAGTCGGCACTTCGGTAATGGTGGAGGTAGGGCGCCTGCTGTACCTGCTTGGGAGGTGGCTCCCGTTGGATCAATTCGACTTTGCAGGTTAATCAAATTGTGTTTAAATTTGCAGGTTAATCAAATTGTGTTTAAATTTGCTTTCACTTTAATTTTAAGGGGCCATGTGGCATCTTAAATTTTAAGGAGCCCGTTAGCTTTCCTACTCCATTACAAAAGTATGACATATATTATGTTGAACTAATTAAACAGTCCAACATCAACAGTCCAATATAGACAAAATAAACGATTCTTCTATATATGTACCCCAAAAAATCTACTCTTGGTTAAGGTGAACATCAAACAGATGTCAACACCAGTGTATAATATCATCATCAAACGATAAGGTACCGTTAAGAGAATAATGATAGATATACAAATGGGTAATTGGGATTGTAAGTACTCCTACTCAATGATCATCTTTTTTTGTAACAGCAACAACAAGAATTAAGGGCCTAACATTGCAATGTGAAAGTACAACGGTCGCTTCCATGCAAGACAAGAGGAATCTCTCAAAACAAACCCGGATGGGATCAATGCTCCTGGTTCTTTTGTCATAGAGCGAGTCAAAAACTCGAGACAGTAGTGGCATGTCGCATGCAGCAAATACCTGACAAAGCAGATCAGACGAAATGAAGATTATCCTGAAATGCAGATTATCCGTATGTTTGCAACCGCTACACGTTAGGTCCAGCAATCTCTAGGTGGTGTTCTTTTGTAAAAAAGATAAAAATTAAAGATAAAGTTAGCACACGGAAAAAGAAAGCCATTAATAGATTAATTAAGTTTTAATTATTATATAAACATGAAAAAATAGATTGATTTAATATTTAAGGCAATTTTTTATAGAAAGGTTTTATACGAAACACACTATTTAGCAGTTTGAAAAACGTGCTAATAGAAATATCTCTATCTTATTCAGAAAAAAACACCACCTTAGGTTTTCTAAAAGAAAGCAATAGTATCTGCCACCACATTAATTTTGTTGTATAGATACTTTTTTATTAACTACTTCATTTGTTTTAATATTACAAAAATAGTCCTAGTATGATTCTATCTTATTTGATATTATGCAAAGACATCTAAAGGAATGAAATTATTCCTAAAAAGTAACAATTAATTTTCTTTTAAGCAATATTAGCACATGTATAATTTATTTTAATCTGTAACAAAGTAGCTAGTAAATATAAATATAAACATGCCGTGCATGGACCTAATACTCTTCCTATGGATGTGTATCTGCACTATCACCAGCTGGTTTTTCAGTATTATAATACATACATCCATGGTTTTATATGTCTATTATATAGTTCTATGTGAACAATATATTTTGCTATATCGGAATCACAAGCTTTTACGTGGTATACAATAACAATTATGCCTAACTAGCAGCACAAGTTTAATAATTAAGATAATGGTCACTTCTAATTTTATCTATATTATTTTCTAAGATTTACGGAGAAGTACAATATTTTCCGTGCAACATCACAAGCTTCTAATTTTGATAAGTTACGAAGCTAGTGAAAATATCATTTGCACTAATCTATATTAGCGCACGGAGAAGTACGTTCAAAGCTTGTGAAAATATCATTTTGTGCACTAGGATTTTCCAGCGGCATCATCTAGTAGTAGTGTAGTGCTCATTAATCAGGACACACACAACATATTTCATGTAGTATATCTGCCCAAATACCTAACTTATTTACTCTTAATTTATTGGTCCTTTTCTTTCATCTCTTGTATCTTGTAGAGTGTGCGTCTTATATGAGGGTAGCTCATCTCTTCCATATTATTATGAAAATTTTCTTTCGTCTCTTGTATCTTGTAGAGTGTGCGTCTTATACAAGGGTAGCTCATCTCCTCCATATTATTATGAAAATCTACATGACACTCTTTAAAAATAACTTCAAGGCGACAAGGCCTTATTAGAATTGAGACAAAGACGATAGAATTCATTGCTCTCGAAGCAAGTTTTTTTTTTTTAACTTCCCATATGTACCAATCTCCTTCTAGTAACCTTTTTTGTTTTTAAAAAGAAAATTGTGAAGAGCATTGACCATATAAGAAGTAATTATACAATAAAAACTTAATATATACACCAATCTCCTTTATAGTAACTACTAGTAACCTTGTTTTTATTGTGATTTGTTTCATGGAACCGCATGAGTACTTTAATTATGACTTACATATTTTTATATGCACATTAAACTTTATTCTAGCACGAATGGTTAAACGTCACCATCCAAAACGAAACAACGTCCTATATTAATAAAAACAGAGCAATCATTTATGTATATTCTTCTATTAGCATAAAGAAAGAAAACAAAATAGTACTAACAATATTCCCTAAGCTCTTGTAGTAGATGCCATTTCGGGACGTGTCAAATTGTTCTAAAAAAGAAAGAAAAAAGAACGTGTCAAAACACCTCCTTTTTGTCGGGATAACGAAAAAAAAAGATTAATGGCAGTTTTTTTTTTTTAAAAAAAAACGAATCTCGTTCTATATATGGCTTAGTCTCGCATCGCAACCGCGCGACGCGAGTTGTCGCTTTTCCTCCCCAACTCCACGATCGAGTGAAGCGGACGAGGGCGACGGCGGCGAGCGCGCGCACAGCGTGTGATCCATGGAGGCGTTCGTGCCGGGCGGCGCGGGGGCGGCGGCGGCGGCGGTCGGAGGGTTCGTCGCCGCGGCCGCGCTAGCCGAGAGGGCCGGCGTGATCGCGCCAAGGAAACGCCCCAACGCGCCCCCAGGTCAGCCGCCCCCCCCCCCCCCATCTCTCAATCTCTCTCTCACTCACTCACTGTCACTGTTTGATGGAATGCCGCCTTGGTGAGTGGTGGGGATTGGCACTTACCATCGGTGGAGAGGGGTGAGATTCGCATCGCACCGGGAATCAACAGGAAGTGGCCTCGCCGCCATCTCATCCATCGCGGTCGCGCCAGGCCCCGCCGACGAGGTCCGGGCCGCACGGCGCTCGCCGGACCACGGCTTGGTGCTGCCCACGGGCGCACCCCCCCAGCCGGCGCAGATGGAGCCGCTCGGCGCTCGTCGTCGCACGCGTGCTCCACCTCGCCGTCTCCGCCATCGCCGGCACCCACTCACACGCTCCCTCGCCGGGAGAGATCGGGGAGAAGAGAAGAATAGAAAGGGGGATTAGGGTTTACCTCAGCCGCCGGCGATTTCTCCGGCACGGGGGAGATCCTGGCCGTCCAACAGATCGGACGGTCGACCTCGCTCCCGCGTTGGCCCGCTGTGCTAATGGGCCCACCCGATTTCATGGGCCTTCCGCTTCCGCACCACCTGGGCCGCGCCGCCGCAGCTCTTAGCCCGCGCGCACATGCGGCACGAACGCCTCTTGCCCCATTTCCACCGCCCTCTCCCGCTTCCGGCGATGTCCACGCCGAACAGCCTCACGACACGTGCTGCTTCGCTGCTTGTAATTGGCTTCTCGTCGCCGGTGGCCGCCGCCGTGTTGTTCTTCTAGCAGTCGATGAAGAGCAGCTCGTCGGCGCAGAGGCCCTTCTCCCTCACGAATCGGCTCCATCCCTTGGTCAGCACGTAGCTCTGGCTGCTGTTCCTGGACGAGTCACAGGTGGAGAAACCTTTGTATTCCGGTTCGTAACACCAATCGGGACTAAAGTTAGGATCTTTAGTTTGTACTCCCGGCGGGGTCGGGGCAGCAGCGGTGGCGGCAGTTGGAGGGTTTGTCGCTGCGGCCGCGCTCGCCGAGAGGGCCGGCGTGATCGCGCCAAGGAAACGCTCCAACGCGCCCCCAGGTCAGCCGCCCCCCCACCAATCTCTGCATCTCTCTCACTCACCCGCTGTCACTGTTTGATGGAATGCCGCCTCGGTGAGTGGCGCGCGATCGGCGAATTGGTGGAGAGAGGTGAGATTCGCATCGCACCGGTGAGTTTCTGAGGAATTGGAGATGTGTGTTGCTGCTTGAAATCAAAAACTCTGATCTCTTGATTCCCTTTGAAGATTTGAGAGCCAATCAAGTTTGCATTCGCCACAATTTTCGCACCGTTCTCCGTCACTGTCTCTTCTCACTCTCTGTCTCTTGATCTCTCCATTGATATCACTCGGAGACGGAGGCGGAGACGGAGACAGCGGTTGATGCCACTGCTCGCGTAGGAACATCTTGAATTTTCTCCCCTCCTTTTTGATCTCCCTTTGATGGAAACAGAAGCTTTTGTCCTGCCTTTAGGCAGAGACGATCAGAAGAATCTATCCTCTCCTTTGCTTTACATTGCCTTTTTTTCCTTTTCTTCATGTTATTCTTTTTTTCTATTCAAGTAGAACGATATACCTCGTGGTGATCATGGTAGAGACCGAAAATGTAAAGCATTTCCATTATCTGCGAACAGAATGATGGGATGTTTAGTATTTTCTCAAACAAACATAGGCATTGCACTGACAGGATTGAATTCTAAATAAAGGAATAAATAAAAGATGGGCCAAATTGTTTCGAGAATCACTGGACCACACTTTGAATTGTTTGGATGAAATTTACCCGTATGTTTGCAACCGCTACATGTTAGGCCCAGTAACCTCTATTAAGGGAATTCGTTTCATTTTTTTCCACAAAAAATGTTTCACCTAGTATATTCACAATGTTTCACTATGTATAAATCTAATGTTTTAATAAATTGAAACATTTTTTTGCAACAAATCACCCACATATTTAGAAACCCTCTATTAAGGGAATTCGTTTCTTTTTTTGTTCCACCAAAAATATTTCAACTAGTGTATTTATAATGTTTCACTATGTATAGATCAAATGTTACAGTGAACTGAAACATTCTTTCGTTGTTGAAACATTGTTTTTATATAAAGTGAAACAACGTCTAGTTTAAACGATTGAAACATTTTCGATCTACTTATTGAAACAATTCTGATATACTTGGTGGAACATCGTGCAACATTTAAAAATAATTCAATAATAAGCTAAATTTTTTTTTGTCAGAATATATCCATATATGGTCTTGTTTTAAAGATTTAATTGCAACGAATTTAATGGTGCAATCGAATCATGATTTAATTTGGATAAATAATTTAAGAGAAAAAATAGTTTAAAGTGGTTTTGCACGCATGCGTCATGCTGATGTCAGCGCCCGATTTTTCCCCTCCCTAATCGGACGCCCGATGCGTAGGCTCCTCCATTCTTTTCTTAGATTAAAGAAAGAAAACAAAATAGTACTATAACAATATTCCCTAAGCTCTTGTAGTTAGATGCTATTTTAGAACATGTTAAAACACGTCGTTTTCATCATCGGGATAACAAAAAAATAAATAAATTAATTAATGGCCGTATTTTTTTTTAAAAAAAACGAATCTCGTTCTTTATATGGCCTAGTCTCGTATGGATGGACGTGCAACCGCGCGACGCGAGTTGTCGCTTCTCCTCCCCAACTCCACGATCGAGTGAAGTGGGCGACGGCGGCGAGCGCGCACGCAGCGTGTGATCCATGGAGGCGTTCGTGCCGGGTGGCGCGGGGGCGGCGGCGCCGGCGGTGGCGGCGGTCGGAGGGTTCGTTGCCGCGGCCGCGCTCGCCGAGAGGGCCGGCGTGATCGCGCCACGGAAACGCACCAACGCGCCCCCAGGTCAGCCGCCCCCCATCTCTCTCACTAACTCGCTGTAATTGTTTGATGGAATGCCGCCTCGGTGAGTGGCGCGCGATTGGCGAATGACTCACTCACGATTGGTGGAGACAGGTGAGATTCGCATCGCACCGGTGAATTTTCCGACGAATTGGAGAGTTGTGTTTCTACTACTTGAAATCAAAACCTCTGATCTCTTGATTCCCTTGAAGATTTGAGAGCCAATCAAGTTTGCATTCGCCACAATTTTCGCACCATTCTCCGCCGCTGTCTCTTCTCACTCTCTCTCTCTCTTGATCTCTCCATTGATATCACTCGGAGACGAAGACGGAGACAGCGGTTGATGCCGCTGCTCGCGTCGGAACATCTTGAATTTTCTCCCCTCCTTTTGATCTCCCTTTGTTGGAAACGGAAGCTTTTGTCCTGCCTTTAGGCAGAGACGATCAGAAGAATCTATCCTCTCCTTTGCTTTACATTGCCTTTTTTTTTCCTTTTCTTCAAGTTATTCTTTTTTTTTCTTCTATTCAAGTAGAACGATATACCTCGTGGTGATCATGTCAGAGACCGAAAATGTAAAGCATTTCCGTTATCTGCGAAGAGAATGAATGAATTTTCTGCACTAACAGGATTGAATTCTAAATAAAGGAATAAATAAAAGATAGGTCAAATTGTTTCAAGAATCGCTGGATCACACTTTGAATTGTTTGGATGAAATTTACCAAAAAGCAAGTTGCTCTTCAGAGGGCATGCATTCATGCCCTTCAATAGGGCGTAGCAAGGAATTAGAGGTCCTGGTGCGAAAGGTATAATGGGACCTCAACATATGATTACATCTAGTTCTAATCGATTTAGCTTTAGATATTAAGCCCTGTTGTGCCTTCTACTTTTAGTTTTGGGTCTTAGGTTCTCTGACCGTCTGGGCTTTAGCATTTTAGTTATGCTGCTAATTAAGTACTCCCTCTGTCCCTAAAAAATCAACATAGTACCAGATGTGTCACATCGTATTACTATAAATCTGGACATAGATCTATCATATTCGTAGTACTATGATGTATCATACCGGTACTATGTTGATTTTTTATGTGACGGAAGAAGTATATACTTAGCACTTCATGTAATTAAGATTTGGGGCTGAACAATCGCACACCTCACTATGTTACTGTACGGCCTGTTCTCCAAACAGACAGCCCTTTCTCTCTCGCTATTACCAAAATTTCAGACGATTTTTTTATATTTGGAATTTCGAATATTTTTTCATGAATTTGATCCCCCCTCCTCCCGTAAATTCAAACAAATTTAAAATTTTTATGCCAGAGGCATTTCCTGCTTACTGGTACCTTCAAATTAACCGGTGCTGGATTACAGATAGAGGATGAGCCGAGGGGTTTGGCGGTAGCTTGCTTGTTTGCAGATAATAATTTTATTTAAACATATAAATTTGTATGAAGCATAAAGCGGAACGCCTTTCTTACCAGTGACTTACTGTAGCCTTCCGTTTATTTTTGGCTGGGAGCGTGATTTTTCAGTTGCAACTGTAGAAATTGATTTTTCAATTGCAGTAGCTTTTCCCAAAGCTATCCTCATCGGACCACTTGGATAGCAGTTTTTTTGGTAATTATTGTTCTCTTGATTTTTTTCTCTAGCACATTAGTTCTTCTGATTAACGTAGTGTGGATTTGAAAATTAGGAAACTATCATAGAGTGAAACATTCTAAGTAAAGAATTTAATGATATCACATAGAGACTAGCTTTTTGTATAGTATGTCATAACCTTAACAAACTTTAGAAAACTTTCATTAATCCATAAAAAGCTTCCAAATTTGTTCCTCTGTTTTATAAAGATTTCGTGCTGTGTTAGCTTGCGCTTATTGCCCCATGATGATGGAAGGACATACATCTGTTTTCCATTAACAGCCAATAAATTCACATAACTCGCGTTATTACTTTGCAAACATAACTGAAATGACATTCCCTAAATTTGTCGATTGTTTTTCAATCTTCCTTTTGATATATCAAAATTTTAAAAAAGTAAATATAGTATAAGTAGACAAAAGACTCCCACTTTCACTGGAGACACATGGTACATCATGTGTTCGTGGAACAACATCGACAATATGTACTTAACCAAACCCAATCGGCATGTCTATGCGAATGGCAGAATGTGTATGGACAGCACCAAGAGTCCAAGGCAGAAAAAAAAGGAGAGTAAATGGCATAATAAATAAAGAAAAACCTGATGACCCATAGAAACGAACAGGAGAATTTTGAAAATATTCAGATCAGCGCTATTCATTTTGATTTTTTATAAGTCAAACTTCTTTAGGTTCAATCAAATTGAAATAAAGAAACTATGAAAATATGTTCAATGTAGATAAACTAATTTAGTTCTATAAGTATTGCTATATTTTTTTTATAAACTTGATCAAACTTTCAAGAAGTTTGATTTAAAGAAAAAGTCAAAACAATTTATAATATGAAACAGATGGAGTGTATATATTTTGTTGACCCACTTGTGAGTTGAGAGTGCAAAGTATTAATTATTGTGGTCTATAGTCACCTAATTCTATTCGACCATCATCATGTCAATATCTGACAAAATCTGACAACATCACCGAAGAAAGGGACAACACTAATTCATCACTAGGCTAGTTACTTGCATGAATATATGGTGTTATCATCTATGCAAACAAATTATCAGAATAACTCATTTCAAGTTTTTAGTCTAGTGTGCAAGTTCTAAGTCTCCTATGATTCTATGATTCTATTTCATTGTCATGCAGCTGTTCCTGGTTTACCCATTATCGGAAATCTGCATCAACTGAAAGAAAAGAAGCCTCATCAGACCTTTGCAAAATGGGCTGAAATTTACGGGCCAATCTACACTATAAGAACCGGGGCTTCTTCTGTAGTTGTGCTCAATTCAACTGAAGTAGCCAAGGAGGTAACTTGGAAGTTGTCTATCATTTTTATTGACTTGCATAGCTCAAGAATGATAGTCTCAAGAAACCATGGATTTACTGTACTCTCTTTTGCAGGCGATGGTTGCAAAATTCTCATCCATATCTACCCGAAAGCTATCCAAAGCACTGACAGTGCTTACTCGTGATAAATCCATGGTTGCTACCAGCGACTATTGTGATTTCCACAAAATGGTGAAGCGTTATGTCATGTCAAGCATGTTGGGTACTTCTGCACAGGTATACTTCTCAACAATTTCATTTTTCATTTTTAGTACTGATTATTCTCAATAACTCCAGTGTGCATTTTCAGATTTTATTATCTGCTACCAGTTACACTTTCAGAGTTTCAGTATCTGTGGTCTGACAACGCAAATGCTTCCATAAATTTCAGAAACAATTTCGTGACATAAGAGATATGATGATCCATAACATGTTAAGCACTTTTCATAAACTGGTGAAAGATGACCCACATGCTCCTCTGATATTCAGAGATGTTTTCAAGGATGAGCTATTCCGGTTGTCCATGATCCAGGTTTGGATTGTCTCTCTGAACTTGAACTGTCAGATGGTCGATTTGTTATTTCTGGCACTAACAATTAATGTCGCAAACTTCAGAGCTTAGGAGAGGATGTGAGTTCAGTCTATGTGGATGAATTTGGGAGGGACATTTCGAAGGAAGAAATCTACAATGCTACTGTGACCGACATGATGATGTGCGCAATTGAGGTCGACTGGAGAGATTTCTTCCCCTACCTCAGCTGGGTTCCAAACAAGAGCTTCGAAACAAGAGTGTTTACTACAGAAACTAGACGAACTGCGGTGATGCGCGCCTTGATCAAGCAGCAGAAGGAAAGGATTGTGCGTGGAGAGGTGAGGAAAGGCATACTTTGACAAATGACATCTTTCATATTTGCTTCTATGCCAAAAAAAAAAAAAAACTTGCAGAGATCATCTTTTAACTCCATGAAACTGAGATATATGTGCAGGCAAAGACATGCTATCTGGACTTCTTGCTGGCAGAGAACACACTGACAGATGAGCAACTGATGATGCTAGTGTGGGAGGCACTCATAGAGGCTGCAGATACTACCTTGGTCACCACAGAATGGGCCATGTATGAGCTTGCCAAGAACCCTGACAAACAGGCAAGAAATATTGTTACTCTGTTCCAGCTCATTGTTGGCATTCTTGGCATTATCAACCAAAGCTTTTTATTTTTGGCCTTCTTCTTGTTGTCATGCCAGGAACGGCTTTACCAAGAGATCCGGGAGGTGTGCGGCGACGAGACGGTCACCGAGGAGCACCTCCCACGGCTGCCGTACCTCAACGCCGTCTTCCACGAGACGCTGCGCCGCCACTCCCCTGTCCCGCTCATACCTCCGAGGTTCGTCCACGAGGACACCAAGCTCGCTGGCTACGACGTCCCCGCCGGCACCGAGGTAAGCACAACCACTCGGGCCGAAACTTTCGTGTTTTCGGTACTTGTTTTGCACGAAATTATTTGAGTTTTTAACCGAATTTGTATAAAATTTTGACCAAATTCACAAAACTTTGGAAAATTCTGAAAATTTTGGGCGTTATTTTTAAGATAATTGATAGAAATCTGACCTCTATATCCACAGTGGACCATAAGAAAACAAGCTTTGAATAAAAATAACACAAGATTAAGCTACACTTTTCTTCTATATCCTTGTTTCAAACCTGCCTTGGCACATCCCGTTGAAATCCAATACTCCCTCTGTCCTAAAATATAGAAGCCTAGAATCGGATATGACATTTCCTCTATCCTAATACTAGGAAATTTTCTATCATGTGCTAGGTTCTTATATTTTTGGACGGAGTATTTTTTATCATATCAGGCAAACTTGTCGTTCTTGACTTCTCGTAGAGTTTTCGGGTGGGATATAATTGCTTGCCTGGGGAGTCCAAAATTTTAATCACTGGTCAACTCGCCGATCAGTGATCAAAATCCCCTAACAATCTAACAAGTGATGGTCATGTGGCAGATGGTGATCAACCTGTACGGGTGCAACATGAACAGGAAGGAGTGGGAGTCGCCGGAGGAGTGGGTGCCGGAGAGGTTCGCCGGCGGGAGGCTCGAGGTGGCGGACATGTACAAGACGATGGCGTTCGGCGCCGGGAGGAGGGCCTGCGCGGGGAGCCTGCAGGCGACTCACATCGCGTGCGCCGCCGTCGCGCGCTTCGTGCAGGAGTTCGGGTGGAGGCTGAGGGAGGGTGACGAGGAGAAGGTGGACACCGTGCAGCTCACCGCCTACAAGCTCCACCCGCTTCATGTCCACCTCACGCGCAGAGGAAGGATGTGAACCATTATATTCATTGGAAGCTGTTGCTCGTTGAATAATGATATATAGTTATCTTTGAGATGTATTTACTATTAGCAAAATCTCCATGCTTTGTTATGGATAGGAGAAAACATATTATAATATATCATGGACTATATTTCTTTTATCAAATATGGTTGTATATAACTTGTTACTTGTTTACTTATTCTTTGTTATGGATAGGAGAAAACATATATTATAATATATCGTAGACTATTAATTTTTTATCAAATATGGTAGTATAACTTGTTACTTGTTTACTTATTCAAATATATGGTATTTATTTATGTGAACTATTCAATAGTAGCAGAAAATATCAGGGTGCCACTGTAGCCTTTTAAAAGAGTGCAGGCAAAGAACCTTACAATGTTAGCAGTGAATCTTTCTTGAGGTAAACCTCAAAAGAGCACCCAATACGACAAATCAACCGTTTCAAGGCTGAGATATTATAATTTGACCGACATCCACATATATTTCAAACCAATTTCACTAAAACAATCATTTATAAAGCCAATTGTTCATTACAAAATATTAATCATGACAATGATTTCACAGTTACTTATATTTTTCTATATATATACTTACTTTCTCTAATCGTACGGTTAAGAGTTACTTCGATTTCTTTACGGTGTTATCTAATCCTATGAAAAATTACTTCTATTTTTTAGTTCCTCTAGCAGTGTACTTGCTTCTAATGCCATAAAGAATTACTTCTATCTTTTAAAAAGTTACTTTCCCCTAACTATGTAATTACTTTTAATACCATGAAGAGATATTAACCACTCTAAATGCCGTGGGAGCGCTGAGATTTTAGAGCGCCATGTCAGCGATTTTTTTTCATAGAAGTCCCCGTACTTCTGGTTAATTATACATTGATCCCAGTTGCTATCCACCGTGAACCGTTTGATCTCTCTCTAGGGTTGATCCCTTGTGGTGGCTCTTCCGCATGCGTGAAATTAATCGTTGGATGCGGAATGGATGGTGCCGATTTCGCCGACTGCATCAAACCCTAGCCCCGTCGCCCCCACCCTTGCATGAGCCCTCGCCCTCGCCCTCACCCTCCACCCTCGGTGCATCACCACGCTCTCCTCCCCTCGCATGTGCCATAGTTGTCGCTGCCGCCGCAGTTTCGCACTCCTCCAACCATCGTTGCGGCGCCAGGCGCCGTCCTCCTCGCCGGCGTATCCGGCCACCCAGATGAGATGGATGCGAGTCGCTGCCCTCTTCTTCCCTTTCATCTCTACGCCGCCACAGGCCATCGCTTCCCTATCCCTCGCCCTCTCCACTCTGCTCGGCGAGGTGTTCATCAGAGTGTCACGGTTGTGCCATTGCCGGACATCACAGTGGCGACAAAGGAAGGAGAACAGGGGAAAGCGTAAAGTGAGAAGACGTGTCTTCGCCAAGAAAGCGTATTGTGTAAAGAGAGTGGTAGGTGTGTGTGAATGCCAAGTAGGGCACAGGAGACAGCTGTGTGAGTGGAGGATAAAATCCCCTCGTTGTTGTACTGATACGATTACGAAATGAGAAATGAAAAAGAATCTCACCTCCCCCAAGTTCTGTCTCTTCTTCTCGCCTAAGTCTTCTTCTTCTTCTTCCCCATGCTAGTTCGCCGTGTCCCTCAACTCCGGTGAGCTTTGCCGCCGCGGATTGGGTTGTGACAAGTTGGTATCAGTCGCTTTGTTCGGTCTCGGGGCTGTCTCTCACATTCTCTCGGCTCGATCAGTAAATCCTGTGGCTCCGTTCGTGGTCTTCCTTCGGGTTGTCGCCGCGGTAAATCATAGTTTGGTTTGATTGGGTTTGGAGGAGACGACGCCACGGCACCAGCAAAACCTAGTGCGCAGGTTCGGCACATGGTGGCGGCGATGGAATCTATGGAGGAGCGTTTGATGGATACTCTCAAGGCACTAGCACTCAAGGTGGATGGTGTGGAGGACATCGCCAAGCGTTTGACGCAGATCGACCTCAAGCTGGCGCAGCAAGGCGAGTGGCTAGATCGGGTGCAGACGAAAGTGGATCTCTCCATGACGTCCCTCGGCCAGGTTCAGCAAGAACAGAGTCAGGTGGCGCGTGCACTGAAGGCGGCCGCGGCACCACCAACACCACCACTGCCGCCCCCTCCGCCGCCTCCGCGTCCTCCACCACTGCTTCCATCTCCGGAGTAGCCGTTGGGAGCATCTTCATCTTCATCAACACCACCACCAACACCACCGCCTCCACCACCTGTTCATCGGTCTCGTCAGGTACCAGGTCATCAAACTGCTCCTGATGTTTCTGATTTTGGGGATTTGGGGCGACGCCAGTGGACTCCGAAGATGGATTTTCCTAAATTTGATGGTACTGGTGTCCGCGTGTGGATTGATAATTGTGAAACGTATTTTGCCTTTTATCAAATTGCGGAGGGGTTTATGGTGTCAGCTGCTGCTCTGCATCTAGTGGGGGATGCTGCTAATTGGTACCAGGTGTGGAAGTTAGAAGTGGGTTGGCATGATTGGACCATGTTAAAAATGGCTATCGCTGGAGAATTTGAGGTTAATCTCAGGAGTCTTAAGATGGATGAACTGATTTTGTTGACACAGACGGCACAGTAACTGAATATCGTTCCAAGTTCAATCAGTTGGTGTATCAGATTAGGCTCTATGATCCTTCTCTGTCTGGTTCGGGGCTAATTAATCATTTTGTGTTGGGATTGAAAGATGAGTTGCGTTCTTTTGTCTAAGCGGTGCATCCAACTTCTATTACTCAAGCATATTTGGTGGCTTTGGCTCATGAGGGGGCACAGCTTGGTAATGTGGGCAAGAGACATTTTCAGAAGAGAGATCCTGTTGTTTGGAAACAACCTGAAAAGCCTAAGTTAGCCACTGGGGAGTTATGGAAAGCACAGCAACTCAAGGAATATCGTCGAGCTCACGACCTTTGTTTCAAGTGTGGGGATAAGTATGTGCCTGGACATGTGTGTGTGAAACCAGATAATGCTCAGCTAAAGGCCATGGAAGTTCAGGAGGATCAGGTGATTTTGTCTGATGATAATTTGGATGCTGTGGTGGCATCTGACATGGTGGAAGATGATTGCAATTTATCTTTGCATGCCATGGCTGGTACATGTTCTGCTTCTACTTTACAGTTGCGAGCAATGGTGGGCAATCAAGTTATTCTGATTTTGGTGGATTCAGGTAGTTCACACAACTTTGTGACCGCTGATTTGTGTACTAGGTTACAGCTGCATCCTGTGTCAACTGTGCCAATTTCTGTTAAAGTGGCTAATGGGGAGTTGTTGTCTTGTGAGGCCACAGTGCCTTAGTTTACTTGGTGGATTCAGGGATTTCATTTTTCTTTTCCTATGAGAGTTATTGCTATGGGGGGGTTATGATGTGGTGTTAGGCATGGACTGGTTGACCAAACATAGCCCTATGCAGTGTGATTGGGTTGCTAGAAGCATTCAATTTCCCTATCAAGGTGATTTGATAACCTTGCAAGGCATTCAGTCTACTCCTTTTTCTGCAGTTACTGAGGCATCTGTTCATCAGGTGGTTAAGTGGACTCAAGGCAATTATATTTGGGCTATGGCAGTACTTGAACCAGATTTCTCTAAGGGCTCCCCACCTGTTGAACTAGCTGTTCAGTCAGTATTGGATAAGTTTTCTTCCGTCTTTACTGCTACCAATTCTTTGCCTCCTCATCGTGTGTTGGACCACTCTATTGCTTTGATTCCAAATTCGGTCCCTGTTAATTCCAGACCTTATAGGTATTCTCCAACACAAAAAGATGAGATTGAAAAGCAAGTTTTGGAGATGTTGAATGCTGGTTTGATTACTCCTAGTTGCAGTCCATTTGCTTCACCTGTTTTGTTAGTTAAGAAGCAGGATAATTCTTGGAGGTTTTGTGTTGATTATCGGCGGCTGAATTCTTTAACTATTAAAAATAAGTTTCCTCTGCCAATAGTTGATGAGCTATTGAATGAATTGGCTGGCACCAAGTTTTTCTCTAAACTGGACCTTCGCAGTGGATATCATCAAATAAGGATGTTAGAAACTGATGAATTTAAGACTGCATTCAAAACTCATCATGCCCATTTTCAGTTTCGGGTGATGCCATTTGGGCTCACTAATGCTCCAGCTACTTTTCAGTGTTTAATGAATTCTATTTTCGCTCCATTCCTTCGTAAATTTGTATTGGTATTCATGGATGACATCTTGATCTATAGTAGGAGTTTGGAGGATAACATTCACCATATAGAGTTAGTGTTACAATTGCTGCAGCAACATCAATTGTGTGCTAAGCTTTCTAAATGTTCTTTTCCTCAAAATAAGTTGGAATACTTGGGGCATATCATTTCTGCTGAGGGTGTGGCTACTGATCCAGAAAAAACTAGGGTTATGCAGGATTGGCCACTTCCTAGCAATGTCACTGAATTAAGGGGCTTTTTGGGGTTAACTGGTTATTATAGGAAGTTTGTCAAACATTATGGCATCCTGGCAAAACCTTTAACCATGTTACTCCAAAAGAATGCTAAGTTTGTATGGACACCTCAAGCTCAGTCAGCATTTGTTGCTCTTAAAGAAGCTATGTGTTCTACACCTGTTTTAGCCCTTCCTGACTTTGCTAAGCCTTTTGTGATTGAGACTGATGCTTGTGCCACAGGAATTGGTGTTGTGTTGTCTCAAGAAGGACATCCTGTGGCATTTTATAGCAAGGCATTGGGAATTGTGAATCAGCGGCTGTCTATATATGAAAAAGAATTTTTGGCTATAATGATGGCAGTTGATCGTTGGAGATCTTATTTACTTCGGGGTCCTTTTGTTATCAAGACTGATCACAAGGCTCTTTGTCATTTAGATGATCAGACTTTGGACACTGAGTTACAGAAAAAGGCGATGACTAAGCTTATTGGATTACAGTACAAGTTCCAGTATAAAAAAGGAGTTGAGAACAAATCTGCTGATGCACTATCCAAAGTAGGGCATTTTTTTGGGATTTCTGTGGTTCAATCTGTTTGGGTTTAGGAGATTCTCAACTCCTATGCTGTAGATTCATCTGCTCAGCAGTTACTTTGTGAGCTAGCTGTCTCTTCTCCAAATGCTAAGGGTTTTTCTTTGTCTAATGGTTTAATCAGGAAGGCTGGTAAAATCTAGGTGGGTGCAAATTCTGCTTTATAGACTAAGTTGATTGCTGCCTTCCATGCATCTGCTATTGGGGGTCACACTGGTGTGCTAGTCAGTTATCAGAGAGTAAAGA